TTTTTTTTTTTTTTTTTGTGAAACTGTGCGTTACCATTAAACGCGCTTTTTATTACGAATCTCGTGTTTCTGCTCGTAATTTACGTTACACAATAATTTTTATTTGTCAGAGAAAGAAGTTTCATGAGCCAATTGTTGCAATAAAATATAAAACCGGACGTGACGCTTTGGGCGATAATGATGGTCTCCCGATGCGTTTTTACATTTTATTCAATTTTTACAAATTCTGCATTTCTCTTAAAAGCGTGGATTTTAATGGATTACAGCGGCATGATATTTAAAATTAACGCGAAACAACAACTTACATTATTACGGGGGAGTATTAGACTGCAGAGCGTTAATTATAGATGAATATTAAATTTCTGCAAATAGTGAAGCGCGCGCCAGAGATAGCTTCCATCTTCCTTTCTGAGGGCCGATTTCGTTTTCGTAGACGCGGAAACTTTAAAGGCAAGCCAGAAACATGTACGTGGTCGCGTATCGAGTGAGGAAAGCAAGAGGTCGGTAAAGAGGGATGAAGCGGCCCTCTCGCCCACCTCCTCCCTCGAGCGATGAAACTATAAAGCCACTCCTAGTAAGTTGTAAAATTGTAATAGCCTTCCGGTATTTACATAATGCTACGGCGTAATAAGTGGAACTCGCCGAGTTTCCATTACCATTCCGCCGCTATCCGCACTTATCTCTGCTAACGACCCGAGGGGGCCCTGCTCTCCCCCGCGTTCCTCTCGTGACTTGTATTTTTCCACCTTATTCTTCGTCGGGCTAACCACGGCGAGAAGCGGCCCATTCCGTCGTCTGCGACTCCATCTTTTGTTCACGTCGCGTATTTGCTAAAATTCAACCGTTTATTCCGCGCTAATTAATTCTCTCTGCTATCCTAAGCTAAATGCACGGATTTATTTCGTAATAAGCCAACGATAATTGACAGTTATCTGTTTTCTATTCATATCGCATGATTAAAAATGTGTAAAAGAGGGTATTATCTCTATAAGGAAAAAAAAACAAAATTTTGCATGTATAATACTTGTGTGTATATATGAGACAGAAGTTGAACAAGATTCTAAAAATTCCAAGATATCGTATACGATATTATTGTAGTAGTAATCAACAAAAAGCATTTCTTTTAAATATTATTGTGAGTGAGAGTTAATAAGTAATCTTAACATAAACCACAATGAATTTTGAGAGCAAAATTAAGGTTACTTGTTAACTTACTTATCGAATTATTTTATGTTCCACTTTATTTTTGAACTATTAATAAAATTGTTCGTTCCGCGTATAACAAACGGGGACAATGGAGATTTCGACAGAAGTCTACCTAGTTTTCACGACAATGTGCTCATTACGCGGTTTGGCGAAATGCAAAACTAGATTTCGTTTGTTAGTGGAGAATATGAGGAAAGCCGAAATCCTGCTTTCACTGAAGAAGAGGGGAAGCTGCAGCGCGGTTTCATTGGAATAAGTGGCCTCCTTGGTTAAAAGTTCGCCTTCTTCCGTCGCTTCTCTCCTCACCTTGATGATAACATCCTTCTTTATTCCTGAGTACCTTTCTCCCTCTTTCTCTTTGCTATTTTCTCCTTACGATGAGCCTCTCGCCAACGAAATCGAGGCCAATCGTTTATTTAATTTTCGAGAGATCCTGCCATTTTATTTTTATTCTCGGGACTTTATACACTTCGTTGATTAACCCACCTCGTGAAAGAAACCTGCCTCTCTCATTTCCTTCTAGACAAGGACGCCGAAACGAAGAAAGCTGCGAGTTTGCATGGGATTTTGAAGAAGGGTTAGAGAACGAGAGCGGGGAGAGAGCTCGAGTTCAGGAGCGCGCAGGGTGGAAGGACTCGCGTCCTCCCGGGGGTTTGCGTTACTCACCGGATATAGAGATGTCTAAGCCCAGCCATCACTGAAATTGCCAGAGTTTACCTCTTCCGCCCTTTCCGCCGCGCTCCATCTTCCTCTCCCATCTTTCTTTCTACCCCGATCGTGCTTTCCTTTTCTCAGCATGGAACTTCCGCCCGTAAAATGTTCGACTCCTGCCTTTCATTCTCCGGCTCGTTCGCTCGCGGCTTTATTACAATGCGATTGTATTATCAAGATTTCAAGACTGGAAGTATCGGTCTTTCTCTGAGCTCTTCTCCTTTCAACTTTCTTAAGCTTCTCATATTAATCCAGCTCCTTGTCAGAGCTGATTTCACGGAGGAATCGATGAATTTTCTCTTTATCAAATTACTTTACAATGTTTATCCGAATATTAATGATTGTATTAGTTCAATTATTATGCTTTTGTTTTTATTCTACTTGATCCAAGTGCTCTATAAATAAATTTTTCTGTAAACTTTTATTTATGCAAATATATTTCATACATGTACCATGTATGTAACGTTTTAAATATTGATTGTGTAAATAAATTAAGAAAATACTTCCAATTTTTATACAGATACCTTCCGTATAACACGATATCTCTACAGCATGAATTTGCTCGGACAAAGAATTAAGGTTTTGATGTTATGACTAAAAAAGATATTCAAGAATTATTAATAGAAGAAAAGGCTGACGAAGTATTCGGTTAAAATTGGCATATGAATTAAATCATATTTCAACTCAAAGAATGATAATACAGATGAGAATTCTAAACAATAATAAACTAGAAGAAGAAGCCTATAACGATGAGAATTCTAAAGTTTAAAATTTTATCCTTAAGAAGCATATAAAATGGCGTAAACTTAGCCGAGCAACCGGAATTTTATTTTTAGATGCGGACTCTTCCCTCCGCTGAAAGAAGCGCTAAAAAAAGATAATTTCAAAAATATTTAGTTCCATATCATGAAATTAGTTTTGTTAAAGAAAAGCAAATAAAAATTACAGATGTTTTGGAGAAAAGTCAAATATTAAAATTTATATATTTTAGACATTTTTCAAGAGACGAGGACATTTTATAATCAAGAAAACACTGTTGTGTTTTATTACGTAATGATGAAGACGTAAACAATTTTTCACATGCATTATTTAACTTTAAATATGTTCAATTAATTATCAATATTTTTTAATAAAAAATATTTTTTAATAATATTTCTCTCAGAGTTATAAAAATGGAATAATGTATATTTATAACTCTTTTAGTCTTTTAGTCTTTGTGACACTATTTATTGCATTATAATTCTTTGTTTTATCAATATGATTTTACGCGGCAGTTTCTCTAATTGTAAGAAAACCCAGGGAAACTTATGTATAACTCTATTAAATCCACACAAATTATAAAATATATAGTAATCATTTTTTAACTTTATGATTTAGGTGTTTCTTGGCATAAAATAGCATTCTTTTAAATCATAGTTAAAGTAGATTTGAGTTATTGAGATATAACTTTACCACCGTCTGTATTATACGGAGGATACATGTATCTTGAAAATTTTTTAGAAAATTTTTATTGGAACCCTTAAATCATATAATTTATAAAAATAATTACTATATACTATAATTTGAATTTAATAGAGAATTACATGTAGGTTTTTTTAGTTTCTTATACCAAATACAGACGGTTCTGTGAAAATACGTAAAAGTTTAGCTAGGTCTAAAAATATTATTGTTGGAAATATCACAATAATTATGTAAGATATTCGAACCCATTGTTAGATAGAATGTCAAAGCTTTTCATAGCATTGTTTATTATGTTTGAGATTCCTACGTAATTATTTTAATAGTCCAATAAAGTCATTTTCAGATCTGTATATATCTACCTAAATTTTTTTAGATATTTTTGCAAAATTAATTTTTTTTTCTTTATACGAACATTTTCATTGGAAATTTTTATTTCTTGGTAATAATACATTTTATTACTTCACATCATGAGATATGTATGTGAATGTGATGCGTGTGTATATATATCTGTGTGCAATCGATTAGACGGCCCTTAAATACTGATCGAATTTCTCGTGATCTCCATTCCTAATTCATTGGTTATATTATCATATCACACTGATATCCATCGATGTAGTTTCCGATGCGTGGGTAGTAACGTTCATATCTAATGGGAAACGCAAGGAATATCGAATATCGAAGATGTCGAATTTGTATGTGATTTGTAATTGTATATCGGAGATGCAGGATAGCGTTTTGGATTTGCCGCAAACAACTTTAAAAGAACGAACGTTGCTTATTCCAATGTGGCACGTACTTTTTCGCGTTTCCTTCACAAAACATACGTCCAATAACAATTTGCGATAAACAATCGCTTAGTAACATTTCTTCCGATTTTGACCCTGACCTTTAATGCGTCCTTCTCAGATTTCAGTCTTTAAAGCAGGCTCTGATAATTTCGGGTATTCTCAATCCCTCCACTTTTCTTTTTTCTTCTTTGCGGAGTTTGCAATTGTTAAAAAGGGAAAATCTTGTATATTTTTCGTATTTTCTAAATGTTATAAAAGCGAATATCTCATGAGTGTTTTCTCCTTCGTGTTTATATATTGGTACGTTATATTGAAGCGTAAGTTCGGCTGTTAATAATGCACCTGTGTCGATTATTTATGACTTTTCCGTCGATAACCAGACAGGTATGGAATATGAAAGACTAAAAGTAAGAAACTGCTAGCGGAGGAGTTTACCTGGAAATGTCATAGCACATTGAGATACAAATCATCTATATTTGATAAATTTTTTATCAATTTCTTTAATGTACGATCGTGTTGAAAATTTCATTTCCTTTCCTAGAACATTGTTAGTCGTGTTACTGCTGATTTTTTATTTATTTTTCGAAAAGAGGAAAAAAACTGCATCATATTATAAAATAATAAATAAAGTATTAGGACTTTTACAATTAAAATTATAAAAACGAATGTTTGTAAGGGCAGTAAAAAAGCGCAGTCTCTGAGTGTGTAATAATGACAGTAACAAATGTATTTCTTTCTTGATATGTATAATATTCGATTGTATTATCTTAATTTAAAAAAAAAAATCATTTTAAAATATAAAAGTAATGTTTCTTTTTTTTTGTTTTTTTATAGATGGTGACAAGGACAAAGAAGATATTCGTCGGGGGATTATCGGCGCCGACGACGCTGGAGGACGTCAAAAATTACTTCGAACAATTTGGTCCGGTAAGTAAAAAAATTTACATTGTTACATTGCCTAGCATTGCAAAATTTAAAATTGTGGCAGACTTTATAAATATGTCGCGCAGATGTGAATAAAGACATTCGTCCGTTTATAATTAGCAATATTAAAATCTAACAATAAAATTTTTCAAGAAAAAAATCTCTTTACGAGATTTCATATATATTGTTTCAAATTTGTAAAATATTCCATATAAAATTGATTGTGTATCAGCATTATATAACATATCGCTACTTTCCGCTGGAGCAACATGAGCAATATCATTGACTATCATTTCAGTTGGTTACATTATCGATGTATCGCACATCCTCACCATTTCCTCTCGTGTCACAAAATCGAGCGGCACTGTCGACGACTGTGATTCATGGGATTTACATTGTTTAGTACTTTTGCATATTTTATTGGCCATTTCGCGCGGAACGCTATTGATTTTTGGACGAACAAGTGCACTCATTTCCATTTACACGACGTCAACGGCGCGCGACGACAATTCTGCCTCGCTGCAGTTCCCATGAATTTTGATCGTTATGGCTCATAACAGTGATATCGAGGTATCGCTATTTGGATTGTTTCAAAATGCGTGACATAATATTATTCACGTGCGAATGATTTCATTTGCTCTGGTTGCCTAACTTGTTCATGGATTACAGAAAGTCAATCTTTGTTAATCCAATTATATATTATATGAAATTGTATATATTTAACTTTCGTCTCGTCTTTCATAAATTAATGATTTTTCGACGATGTCGCGTAAAATGGCTTAAAAATTAAAGCTACGGTATTTATAAAATATATATATAAATAGTATATTTATAAAATATCTTTGTTTTAAATATCTGGTTTAATTAAGAAGAAATTAACTCTAACTTTATCGAATAATTTGTTGTATCTTTCTTGATTTATTTTGTATAAAAACTATTTTCTTGATAATCATTGCCAAAATATGTCAATTAACTATTTTAATAATAGTAAAACAATTCGATATTTCATAAAAAGTTTATGTATAGAATTATTGATTAATAGTTTGGAAACTGAAGAGTATTCTTATAGAGAATATTCTTACAGATCTACTTAGAAAAGTAGACCGTCCTCGGGGAAAAAAGAATGTTAAGTTTAGGGCCGTTTTTTTACCAAAATGAAAAAGTTCCGAGATGTACAAATTATACATCATATTAAACGACTACTCAAGTGGAGTCGAATGGTATATCGCTTATCTTGGGGTAATGTCAGGAACATAGGAGAAATTGTGATCAAAACGAATAAATCTTTCATGTGCTATTTATGCTATTACATTTATTGTAATAGTAAAAAGAAAGTACGATAAGAATTGAGCAATAAGGATTGTATTATTTAAACACGCGAATGTTTCCTTTTGAAAAGAGAAATTTTGCAAGCATATAACTTGACGCCATAATTGTATGACGCAATAAGATATATGTAACTACTGTGTCCACTGTAGCACTATTTGTGGTTATAATCTCTCTAATTACTAGACGCTTCTAACGCTTGTGGAATCATTTCATTCTTGTTGTTTATCGATTGAAAGATCAAGAACAAATGATGGTCGCGAGCATTATGAGCGTCAAATGAAACACAGTCCTAATAAAACATGAAAAGAGTTATTATTGTTTTTTTGAATACTTTTAATACCTTCGGTATGCGTTATTACTATATAATATCATATATCCTGAAAAAATGTGTAATATTTATTGAAAAAATTCTATATAATCACTTTCTTTTTTCTTCTAGATCTAAATATAATATAAAGAATTTAAAATATAAATTTTTCCATAATCCTAATGTTTCTCCAAGATAAATGATATAAATACCATTCGAATCTGCTTGAGCCGTTTGATATAATATAATATAGGAATTTTTTTCAGTTTGGCCGAAAAACAGTCCTAACTTAACATTCTCCTTTCGAAAGGCAAATTACATGATTAGAAACTGAAACCTATCTCGTCCCCCCCTCTCTCCTTCGGATAACAATGATTAATTGAGTTATAAATTCAGAGAGCCGGCAAATATTATAAAGCACACGTGCAATTTTCGATTCTAATTTCGGTGCGGTTTAAATGGCTTGTCATTAGGAAGTAATAATAAATGATAAGCAAAATAGAATAATAATTAATAAATTGGAAATTTTCGGTTATCTCATTTTCGAGCTAAAACTGTATCGTAAAATTAATAGAATCGTTATAGCTCTAAAATAGAATCATTACCGTCATAATCGTTTTGATTAAATAACAAGAATTATTTTTGATAAGCCAAAAATCCAGGCCAATTATTTTACTAATATGTCTTTATTATTGTGATTTTTTTCAGTGATATATGTTCATAATTCATAAAAAGACAATAAAAGTTTAAAAAAAATGTTTTTCTTCAATATCCATAAATAAATTCTTATAACATCTGGTACTACATAGTTAAATTAGAAAAATGAGAATAATAAATATAATATCATTTTTTCAGTGTATTTAACTTGCTAATAGTAGCAAATAGATTTTAGTTGATACTTTGATCTATAATCATAATTCGTTTCGGATTACTTAAATACATTAAGAAAAACAAATACACCATGCATGAAACTCACGATAATATCTTTCCATTACGGTGAATCAAATTCCTTGTCACGGTCAAACATGCATACTGCGCGGAACACTAAAGTCTATAATGGAGAGATCGTCTACTGGGAGAACCGATGTCGCTTATCATCGACGACGGAGGGATCGAGATAGGAGGGAAATTCGGCATCGCCGAATGGTCGCATAATAAGACGGTCCCGAGTCGTCCGCTGCAGATGCAGCCGGCGGATATAGAAATTTATTGGAAAACTTGGTCGATCCCAGCCGGCAGAGAATATATGCCCGGCTCTCAGGTGAGACACGACGTAGTTCCGAAGGATCGAGGGTAGTGGAGTAGGGTCGGCGGATGGAAGAAGAGGGAAAAGAAAAGGAAGTCGGGCGCACGACACATTTATTCGCGACTCGTGGCACGAGCTAGAAGCCTAGAAATGGAGTTGAGATATCAGAGCTCGCCGCTATCTCTATCTCAAACCTACCTCTAATTCCACCCCTCTCTCTCTCTCTCTCTCTTTTCTTGCTTCGTCTCTCTTGTTCTCTACCGAAAGTCCTCCATTCGGCTTTGAATGCAGAGTTTCCGGCTCGTAGCGGCTGGACTTCTCCGTTCTATGTGTGTGACCCACATTGGAGATACCATCGGGCGTGAACGCGCGCGCTGGCGGACGTACATGACGCCATTTCGGAATTCGACTCCTACGTACGGTGCACACACGTGGGGTGCAGTATACAAGTCCGTGTCCACGCCCACGTGCATCCTAACGATGAGCGTACATGATCGTACTGCGCATACTTGGACGACTTTTGCAGGCCGAACAAAAGTGAAGGGCAGAAATTTAGAACGCCATTTGCAAGGTATGATCAGAGTATGTTTTCTCACGTACGGTAAACTACACGGCTGACTATTTTATTACTGTTTTACCAAGCTTTCGCGTTTGATAATGTTTGACGATGTACGCACGCGCTCGTATCATATCACGCGAAAAATTACCATTCGCGTGTTTCATAAATTCGATAACGGCCTAAAAAGCTTCTGTTTTTGGTACGGCTACCAACAGATGTCGACAATCTAAGCCGAGTTTGCGACCGATGGATACCTGTAAAACATGTTCGTGCCTATAGAACGTAAACACACTAGGCGAGTCCTACCGTAACTTCTATCGCGCGTCAGTCTCTTCGAGCATCCACGAGATACTATTAAAGACTGTTTAGCGCTTGTGGAAGTTCGCGAATAATAAACTGATACTCTCTCTCTCTCTCTACGGTACTAATTTCATAATTTATTAGTTTTGTAGACATGTAATATATACATATATATATATATATATTTATATATATATATATGTTTAAAACTTAATTATTTTTATTAAAAACTGTGATTTTAACGTTATCATTCGAGTTTGATTATCAATAGACGTGATAACTGCAGAGAAAAAATTATAATTTTTCGGTAATATGAGATATTATAGCATTAAAAGTATGCGTACTTCCTTACACATCAGTATTCATATAATAAAAAAATTATGAATTTAATAATGTATTATCACAATATTTATGTTAATAATCGTAAATTTTTATTAATTGTCGATATTAATATTTGCCCAGGACCGATCGTCTTTAATAGTATCTCATCGGTGCTTTGAATCCGTCCAATGCTCCATCTCGCCAATATCTATCTGATTTCACTTTTGCTCTGTAAAAGCACGCGAGAGGAGAGGGAATGCTAAAGCGGGAGATTTCTGTCGACGAAATAGCTGGATCGCGAGGCAACTGATAAAGCTAATGGCATTACCAGGAAATACGTTATACTCATTGCACGTTCTGGCTTACGAAACTTTTTAGGAACTACTATTTTATTTTAACACTCGTAGACAACGTATTCATGATTGAGAGAGATTTGTGCATATCTTTTACGTTCTTATTTCATTCTATTTTAAATAAATTATTCAAATAATTTAACACTTTTTTTTTACACATTTAGTGAGTTTTTGATATCTCTCGATTAACTAGGGTCTTAATTTCATTAAATTATATTCGGAAACGTAATCCGCGAAAATAAATCTGCCATTTAATATCTTTTATTTTAAAAAAGGCGATTTTTTAATAATAAAATTAAAGATATATTTTATGTTTATTTTATAACAAAATGTGTAAAATTATGAAAAGGTTATGTATTTGAAAATAATACAAAACATTGGCAGTGATTTAGAATCCAAATAAAAAATTATTTTAATGAGAAGTAGATATGTTCTCTTAAAAAATAATTAAGATAAAAAAGCAAATGTTTATATGAACTATAAAATTGAATATTAACGTTATTGAATTATTTCATATATATAACATTTTTATACGGGAAATATAAATTTCGCATTCTAGTTATTTTTTGCAGAAACTGTACACCTAAT